TCGGACGCCGCGCGCGCCGCGTCGGTCGCGCCCTCCACCGCGATGCCCACGTCGGCCTTCTTGAGGGCGGGCGCGTCGTTGACGCCGTCGCCAGTCATACCCACCGAGTGGCCGCGCTGGCGCAGCGCCTCGACGATGAGGAACTTGTGCTCGGGGAAGACCTGCGCGAACCCGTCGCTCTTTTCGATCATCGCGCCGTAGTCGCGGCCGAGCGTGCGTGGCACCTGCGGGAAGAGTCGCGGGCAGGTCAGTCACGGCACACGTTGTGCATGTTGGGCGCACCGCCACAGCCTCGCAAACCACAGCCTCGCAAACACTGCACCCCTCTCCTCCCTCCCCTCTCTCCCCTCGGTGCGCCGAGGACCGTGTCTGGTGTTTGCGAGGCGACTCGGAGGTGTGTGTCTGGGAGGCGTGCAGGGGTAAGCGGCACCTCCTCGCCCGGCAAGATGGTCGGCAGGCTGTCCGACGCGCCAATCTCGTCGCCCATGCCGAGGGAGCGCGCCGTCTCGCGCGCGATGGCACCGTGGTCGCCAGTAATCATTTTGACGACGACGCCCTGCTGCATCGCGCGCTCGATCGTCCGCTTCGTGTCTGGCCTCGGCGGGTCGAGGAAGGTGAGCATCCCGACCATCTCCATCCCGCCACCCTCGGGCCTCCTCGCGACGGCGAGCGCGCGGATGCCGCGCTGCGCCAGCTCCTCCACCTTCGCGGCGAAGACGGCGCCGATGGAGGAGCGGTTGGCTTCGTCGCACAGCCGGAGGACCACGTCGGGCGCCCCCTTGACGACGTCGAAGACGCCACCGTCCGGGCCGCGCAGCGTCGCCTCGGTGCGGCGCAGCTTCGGGTCGAACGGGGTGAAGTCGAGCTGCTCGTGCCTGTCGAGGCTCGCGCGGTCGAGGCACTCTGCTCTGAGGACGAGCGTGTCGAGCGCGTCCTTGGGAGGCTCCTTCCAGCGGGTGGCGAGGGCGGCGAGGGCGAGGATGGCCGCGTCGTCTGCGCCCTTTGCGTACGAGAGCACCTCCTGCAGCACCATCTTGTTGAGGGTGAGTGTTCCCGTCTTGTCGGAGCAGAGGACGGTCATTCCGGCGAGCTGCTCGATCGACGCGAGCCGCGCGACGATCGCCTTCTTCGCGGCGAGGAGGCGCGAGCCGAGTGCCATCGTCGCCGTGCAGACCACCTGCATCGCGATCGGGATGGAGGTGTGAAGAGGAAGGTGTGAAGAGGAAGGTGTGAAGAGGAGGTGTGAAGAGACCACCTGCATCGCGATGGGGATGGAGGCGACGAGCAGCACGGCGCCGAACGAGACGGCGGGCCAGACCCCGTAGCCCTCTCCGTCGAAGGTGAGGGAGAGGTAGGTGACGGCGGCGGTGACGAGGAGGGAGGAGAAGAGGAGGAGCGCGCGCGTGATGCGCAGGATCACCTTTTGGAAGTTGCCCACGTCGTGCGTCGACCCGATCAGCGCCGCCGTCTTGCCGAAGAATGTGTTTACGCCCGTGTGCGCCACCAGCCCCTCCGTCTCGCCAGACACGATCGTCGAGCCCATCTTGACCAGGCTTCCCTCGCCGAGGGAGACAGGGAGCGACTCGCCAGTCAGCGCCGCCTGGTCGACCTGGACCTGCATCCCGCGACCCAAGAGGATGTCGGCGGGCACGTTTGCGCCGGCGGCGAGGGCGACACGGTCTCCCGGGACGAGTTGGGAGGCGTCTGCCTTGCGCCACGCGCCTGCCCGCTTGACCTGCGCCTCGGGCTTGAGAGACGCCTGGCGGCGGGGCGAGGGAGGGCGCGGGTTGGAGAGCACAGGGGCGGCGCGGGGAGAGGAGGAGGGGGGGTGGGGGAGAGGGCAGCTCTTGTGCGCACCTTGAGGGCGGCGACGGCGTCGCCGGCGCGCATGTCCTCGAAGAAGCCGACGAAGCCGTTGAGGAGGAGCAGCGCGGTGAGGGTGCTCATGTCGGGCCACTCCTGCGCGGCGCGCAGAGTATGCGCGGTGTCTCTGGGCTCTCTGGCGCAGGCGTCGGAGGAGAGACGGCGTCGCTCTCTCTGTGGGCGATCGCAGGGAGGGAGACTGGCGATGTGGAGGGGAGGGTCGCGGCGGAGCCGAGAGTATTGAGGTGCCGGGCGCGTGCGCACGGCGGGGTGGGAGGTGCGGCGGGCGGCGGGCGGCGGGCGGCGGCGGCGGCGGCGGGCGGCGGGCCGGCGGCGGTGGCGGCGGCGGCGGCGGCGGCGCCTGCAGCAGGCCCTCGATGATGATGGCGATAATGATGGTGCCGGGCATGATGCCGGTGAAGTGAGACAGGAATATACGCCACTTGGGCGTGCGCAGGTCCGGCAGCTCGTTCCGCCCATGCTGCAGCAGCCTGCGCGCCGCCTCCTCCTCAGAGAGCCCGTCTTCGCCCGTCTGGAGGTCGAGCCGGTGCTTCAGAGCCGAGTCCTCCGAGGCGGTCTGGAGGTCCTCTGGCTCGTCAGCCTCGTCAGCGGGAGCCTGGTTGTCCCGGTCGAGCAGCGGTGGCTTGCACATTCCGACGGCGACGATCTCGCACAGCGGCGCAAAAACGCAGCACCCCCTGGGCACAGAATCTACACCCGGCGCTGTTCACAGCCTTGTTATGAGAAGAAAATACCTGCGTGTGTGAGTGTGAAAGAAAATACGTCCTATGGCGCTATGCGCTGTCTGTGAGAGGTTGAGGCGCGAGCCCTGGAGGCCTGCACCCCACTCACAGTTATTTGTATGGTGTTAGTTGGGGCATTGCAGCCCATAACATGTTATGGGCTGCTATGAGAGAGCCGTCTCGGATCCACGGTGTTATGGCCCGAGAGGCCACACCGAACTGCTGGCCGCTGGAATTTTCGCTTCGCGCGCTGCCGCGCGCGCGCGCGAGGTTCGGCATCGATCGCCAAATATTTTCTCTTTCAAGTTAAATTCAATCACATCAACCTGCCTCCTGAGGCTGAGCGATGGCTTCAGATTGCTCAATCAAGACTTCCCCTTCCCCCCCCTTCACGCAATTTGCTTCCCGTTTCTAACTCGTACTCTAGCACACATAGTTGAAGCCGGGAATCCTCTTGAAGTCGGAGACGCGCAGGTCAAGTGACGAGGGCTTCTGGCTCTTGAACATCCTCATCCGGTAGGCCATGGTTGGCTGGTAGTAGCTACGCGGCGCGGGGCGGGCGCTCCGAAAGAAGAATTTTACCGTTCCGGGATACGCGCGGCGGGGCTCCAAAAGAAAAATCCGTGGGACACATAACAGCTGTTATGAGGTTGTTATGCTGGCTGTCATAACAACCAGTGGGAGGTGTTATGAGTGTTATGAGGTGTTATGAGGTGTTATGGGGTGTTATGAGCAGCCAGCCATAACAGCCATAACACCTCTTATGGCCGCTCCCACAACCTTGTCTGGGGTCAATTGAGGCCCTGGGGATGGGGTGAGACTACCCGCGGGCCTAGAAGGCCCTCGCGCAGGGGGGTGGGACATTGAGACCGGTCATTCACACACATAAACGCACCGCCCCGGGCCCGAAATCGCACAGAGACAGTCACGCAACACGGGGTCCCAGGGAAGGCGGGCACGCGAGCAAAACCCCTATCATCCCGCGCGCAAGACGCCGACGCTCGGAGGCCGCACCGGTCAGGCGCGGCGCAGCCGGAGAGGCGGAGAGAGAGGGAGGCGCTCAATATAAACGCACAACCCCCCGGGCCCGAAATCGCACAGAGACAGTCACATTTCGAGCCTTTTTTGTCGTTCTGCTGAATTGGAACGCGCGAAAGCGCCGGCTTTCGAACCTCGGCGCCCGCCCTCTTTCTGGCCGCGTCCCTCCCCTGTCCTCTCGACTGCACTCATCTTTTACATACATAATTTATATTGCGTACCTACGCTATCTCACCTCCGGTCCTCGCTCGTCGCGCAGTATAGGCTCCTCCACGCCGCGACGCTCGCGGCGCCGACCACGAGCTCTAGCGTCAGCAGCCTGACGTCGACCGCCTGGCGCGCGAGCACCGCGCCCGCGAGCGCGAGGAGGACGCGTGTCGACGCAAAGTCCACCGACGCGCGCGCGACGCAGGCGAGGGCGTTGGCGTAGCCGAGCGACGGCAGCACGGCGGTGGGGTCCCAAGCGTTGGTCACCGCGGCGCCGACGATCCACGCGCTCGCAACCGCCGACCCCTCCGCCACCCAGCCCTCCCCCCCTCCCGCGGCGAGGACGTCGACGCACACGAACGCAGAGCTGTACGACGCAACCACGTCGCCGACGACGAGCTGAAAGTCGTCGATCCGCGGCGGCCACGTCCGCGGCGGCCGCCTCCACCACGGCGTCTCTTCCTCCTCCACCTCCGCCGCCTCCACCTCCGCCTCCGCCGCCTCGAGGCCGCTTCCAAACGCGAGCGCGTCGAGGGCGGACACGACGAAGAAGTCGCTGTGGCGGCCGCCGCGCGAGCCGCCCGCCTCGGCCACCGAATGCAGCAGCGTGTAGAGGCCCAGCAAAACGAAGTGGCCCCCGAACTCGAGCAGCTCGAGCGGCCCGACCAGCTCGGCGACCACGCGCGGCAGCAGCGGCGCCATGGTCGCCGTCTGGCCCACCAGCACCGCGAGCAGGGTGCGGAACGTGGTCACGTCGCGGAAGAAGACGAGCGCCTGCTCGAGATGCGCCGAGATGCGCCGAGATGCGCCGAGATGCGCCGAGATTGTCCGAGAAGGCCGCCTCCTCGCGCGGCAGCCCCTCCATCACCGCGAAGTTGCCGGCGAGCAGCTGGTTGACCAGCGTGTACGGCTCGTCGGCCTCGGGTGGCGAGCGGCGGATCATGCCGGTGTCGGCGGCCGCCGCGTTGGCGGCGGCCGCGTCAGCAGCGGCCGCCGGGGCCGCGGCGTCTGCGCGCGCCGTCATCGCCGCCGCCGACATCCATGCCGTGCCCAGGTTGGGGAGGTAGGGCGCGAGCCAGGCGAGCTCGGCGCGGGAGAGGCGGTCCTGACGCGGCGATCCGCCGAGCTGAGAGGATATCGACGGGACGAGATCGGCCGAGGTCGGCCGAGAGGCTGGCGCGGGCGAGGGGTCTCCTGCCGCAGTGCCGCGTCGATGCCGCGCGAGTAGCGGGGCAAGTGGCGTAGCATCGCGCAGAAGCCGCCAAAGGAGATTGGGCTCTGCACGGCGGACGCGTCGCCGACAGAGAGGACGCGGTCGAAAGCGGGTTTGAGGGGCGAGTTGGAGCGGTAGGTCGGGAACCAGCCAAAGAGGATGCGGCGCAACGCAACCTCGTCCGCCTCGCCGCAGCGCTGGTAGGCTGGCAGGCGGGACCAGTACTCCTCCATCAGCTCGAGGAGCCCTAAGAGGCTCCACGACACCTCTCGGCATCCGCTCAGCCTCTCCCGGCGGCTCCCGGCGGCTCCCGGCGGCTCCCGGCGGCTCCCGGCGGCTCCCGGCGGCTCTCGGCGGCTCTCGGCGGCTCTCGGCGGCTCTCGGCTAGCCCGTGCGCCTGGCATCTGCTCGGACGGCCTCAGGTAGGTGAAGAGGTAGGTGGAGCGCTCCTCCTCGCCGCCCGAAGAAGGGAAGGACTGCCAAAAGAGCTGCGCCCTCGCACACCGCCGCGGCCCGCAATACTGCGCGTCGTCCTCGGTGACGAAGAAATCGCCTCTGCCGCGCCACTGCCGCGCCCACGCGCCGCGAGCGCAGCTCCCCACCTGCACGCACACGCCGTCGGGCCGCTGGCCTCGCCTCGCCTGCAGCGCGAGCGGGCTCCGGTGGCCCATCGCGTCGACGACGAGCCGGCTGTGCAGCGTCCTGCCTTGGCCCGCCCCGCCTTGGCCGAGGGCGAGCGCGGCGCCGTCCGGGTGGATGCGCACCTAGAGGACGAAAGACGCAATGTGGCACCGCGCTCGTATTGAATAGCGGGCTACACCCGTGGGTGCGGCTTTGAACACACAGCGGTGGTGCGCAGGTGGTGCGCGTCTCCTCGAGGCAGGGAGGACTACACGCACCTCGCGCACCGGCGAATTCTCGAGCACGAGCCCGCCGGCCGCCTTGAAGCGAGCAGACACGGCCTCGAGGAGGGCCGTCGGCGAGACGGCGACATCGAGAACGCCTCGCAGCTGCAGCTCTGACGCCGGCGTCGCGCCAAACTTGCATCTCATCGGGCCAAAGCGCAGCGGAGCCACGCGATGCAGCTCCTCCTCGGTGAGCAAGCCAGCGGATACCAACCGGCGAAGCTCCTCCTGCGAGGTGTTCCAGTCCTGAGCCCGCCCTCGCAGCGGCCCGGCCTCGACCACCGCGACTCGGTGCCCTCGCAGCTGCAGCGCACAGCCGACGAGAATGCCGAGCGTGCCGCCGCAAACGGCGACGTCGACATCCACGTCGCACGCCGACGGACGCAACGCCGGCCGCGAGAGAACGAACTCGGGTGGCTCTGCGGTGGGCCACTCGCCGCGGAAGAGCGACTGCAGCGACTGCTCCTGAGCGACGAGGCTCTGCAGCAGCGACGAGCCACCCGCGCCGCCAGCCTCGGCGAGCGCGGAGGAGGAGGGCAGGGTGGCAAACGCGCGAGTCGTGAGCGGGCCTGGCTGGCGCATGCGTCACGAGTCGCTGTGAGCGTCGGATCGCTCGTGTGCGGCTTGTTCGGGGAGCTGGGAGGTGGGGTTTGTCGTGCCGAGTCAACCCGAGAGGCGAGACGTCAGTCAAGTCTGTGGGACGGCCGAGCCTCGTTCAGGGGCGCGTGCGTGCGTCCCCCTCTCGACTCCGTTTGTTCACAGCCGGCGCGCGCGCCGGCGACGGATATGCGCGACTCGCCGCCGCGGCTCCGGGCCTCCAACGGCACGACCTACGCACCTACGCCCACAACCACCGAGAGGCGCGCTGTCACATCACTCGCACAGCCTGCAGCGCGGCGCTGCGCCAGAGCTCGAGAGGGCCCGAGAAGGGTCCCAGATCTCCAGTAGCACACAATACACACGTAGCCACGCATACCCAACCACATCCCCTGCCACCCCAGAGCAGATCCCGCCCGGTCTCGCGGTGGTCATCGGTGGTCATCACTCACGTCCTTCAGCCGCAGCGGCAGCGGCTCTTTCTCGCCCATCAGCAGCTTCCACATGTTGGGCACCCAATGCGCCGGCCCCTCGCTCGAGGCGGCCCCGCGCGTGCCGTCCCGCGCCTGGAAAGCGAGCACGTACAGGAGGGCGTCCATCAGCCGCTCCCGAATCTCGGGATGCGCGCGCCACGCGTCCTCGAAGCCGTCCATAAACCGGAGGAGGACGCCGCGCGGCACGACAAAGTGCGTGTCGGGGGCCGAGGCGATGCCGTGCTCGGTCCACGGCGTGAGCCGCACATCGACGGGGCTCGACTGCATGGCGCCGATGCTGGCGCCGCCCAGCCCGCGGCGCGAGCACTCCATCCGTTCAAGTCTGTGGCTGACGATCATCACGGGCACCATGACGGGCAGCGCCGGCGTCGCGCGACTGGAGGGGCGACCGGCGGTGGCCGACAGTAGCGCGCTGACAACGCCGCACGCGTCCGCGCGCCCCTTCGGCTCGACGAGGCGCACGGCATCGCGGGCGGCCTCCCAATCGACAAAGATGAGCGCGCCCGGCGGGAGGGACTTGACCTTCTTCCGCTTGCGCGCACCGGGCGGCGCAGAGGAGGAGCCCGCCGCTGCCGCCGAGGCCCGCGGGGCGTCCTTCCCGTTGCGCCGTGGCTCATTTGAGGGGCGTGACCGGTCGCCATCGCCGCGCGGGGCAGCATCGTTGGGGTACGCGCGCTTTGCTTCGTTCCGCTGCGCCTCCTTCTCCCCCTTCTCGGCGGCGGTGGCGCACACGGCCGTCCCGATGCGGTCGCCGCCCCCCGGGGTAGAGCAGTCCGCCGACGAGGACGCCAAGCCGCCGACGTCGCCTCGCCGCCGAGCTTGCTCCCCGCCTCCACTACGGCGCATGTGGTGCTCCTCTGCCTCGATCCGCCGGCGGCACTCTTCCTCGATGGCGCGACGCGCGGGCCCCAGGGAGTAGGCGACGAGGTGGGTAGGCGTGGACACCTCAGCGGGGGTCGGGACGAGCGGCCGCAGCCACCCGACCGGCACCCACTCGCCCGTCCCGTCGGGGTGGGCGAGAGACTCCACAGCGAGCGCGGCGAGCGAGCGGGATGCATACGTGTAGAGGGCGCCGGCGCCGATGAAGTGGCGGCACGCGAGGTCGGCGAGTTTGGATCGGTCGAGTTTCGGCGGCGGTGTCCCTTGCGGGCACACGACGCGGATGTACACATGCCATTTGTCCCAGATCACACCGCGCGCGGCATTGCGCGCCCGCTGAACGGCGTTGGCGGCGGATTCAAAGCTGGGGTAGCTGCGTCCCTGCAGCCCGATATTAGCGGGCGCGGCGACGACGTCGGTCGGCCCCACCCTGAAGTGATCCCACATCCTGGCATCCAGGCGCACGGTGTCTGGATGTAAACTGGGTTTCTCGAAGAGGTGAAGCATCGATCCAGCAGGGAGCAACATTAGACCACTGGACGTCGCACCCTTCTCGCGTGCTGGACGGCGCAGCTGGGACGGCGTCTGCTCGCAGAAAAAGAGAATTCTTCGCTTCCCTCGCACAACACTGGGCACGGGACTGGCGCGCACTGGCACTAACACAGGAAAAGGAAGAAATGTTACCAAACTGGTACGGGACCCCTCGATCGTCTCGCCCTCTCGACTCCCTCACTGGCGTGTTCATTGGGGGGGGTCATAACAAACACGGTACAAATAAAATATTCTTAGCTTCAAGCCCCCCTCCGAGACTAGGGACAGAACCACACCAGTATCAGACCAGCGGGACTGCGCCTCGCCCCCACTTGCCCTGACTACACAGGATAGCATGCCCCGATAACGGCGACACATAGTGGGGGACACTGCGCAAGGAGGGGGTGCGAAGGCTCATTGGGGTACTAGGTGGGACCATGAGGGGGGGTGGGCGGGGTCCTGTGGGGGTGAAATGTTGCGCGGCGAATTCGAACCTACCCCCTCGCCGCGCCGATCCTCACGCGGAGGGTAAAACCCTGTGGGACAAAACCCCCCCGCGGTCGGCAGTCTTCAGAGTGGACCCCCCCCTCCCCAGCCTCCCCTGTGCATCTCGCACCCCCCCCCGCTCCCCATCCCCCCCCCACCCCCCCCCCCCCTCAGCGCGACCCCCGCCCCCCCCCCCCCCCCCCCCCCCCCCCCCCCCCCCACCACCCCCCCCCCCCCCCCCCCCCCCCCCCCGTCCCCCCCCCCCACCGAATTCCCCCTGCCCCCCCCCACCCCCCCCCCCTCCCCCCCCCCCCCGACCCCCCCCCCCCCCCCCCACCCCCCCACCCCGATCCCCTCGCCCCCCCGAGGCACCCCCCCCCCACCCCCCCCCCCTTCCCCCCCCCCCCCTCCCTCCCCCCTGACTCCGCCGCAGCCGCCAAGTTACCGCTACTTCATGGGAGTTAACGATCAATATACAGGATCTTGAGCCGACCATCAAGTAGACGTCCTGGGAGCAAGCAGCCACACAAGTCAGCTTTGGGAGCTCTCGGCGACGCCCAATGCGTGCGCCGGTAGGGGGGAGTGTGTGCGCGCGTGTGTGAGATGAGGATTGTGGCAGGCTGGCTGCTGCTGATGTGGGCAAGTGTGCTCTGTGTGCGGCGCTGCGCTGGCGTGCGACGCGCGCGTGCTGTGTACGTGTGCGTGCTGCGGTCGCGCGCGCGTCTGTGTGTGCTGCGCGCGCGCCGCCGGTGTGTGCTGTGCGCTGTGCTCTGTTGTGCGCCCTGTTTGTGCAGCTGGGAGGCGCAGGCTTGGCTGGCAGGGCTGCGCGGTGGGCTGCGGCGTGCTGCGGGTGGTCGCGCGCCTGCCTGATGGTGTGCGGCGGCCGCTCAGCCCGCCCGACCGGGTCGTCGGCGGCCCAGGGCGCGAGCATGCGGTCGGCGCTGCATGTGAGGCTGCTGCGCGGCTGGCGCGTATGTTTCCGTGCGGCGAGGGACGCGCGTATGTGTTCACGCTGCGGGCGCGGGCGGGCGCGGGGGGCGGCGCGGTCTCACCGCGGTCCGACGTCGGTTGGTCTTCGGCGTGGCGAGGGCGGGTGCGCAAAAGCCGAAAAGGCCTTGCCATCGCGTTGCCGCGAAGGAAAAAGAATCTCGCTAAAGAAACAAACACGCTAACGGATGGAGGTGCTCGCCGCCGAAGCAGTGTCGTCCCCCCTCTCCATCTCACTGGGAGAGAGAGACGTCGGCGGGAGAGAGAGAGAGAATTTCTTAGCAATACCAAACAACTCTAACACTCATACATCATTTGGGGCCTGGAGCCCTGTTCACGCGCGCGCGCGCGACGTGCAGACAGGGTTGCCAGGTGAGAGCGAATGGCGCGGTTCACGCCCCTCGCACAATAATAGCGGTGTGACCGATCGAGCTATAAGAGGAACTTGTTCAGCGGGGTCCGGGATAGTCAGATGCACTACCTCACTGGGCCTGAGCCCTGGCCTCGACACCTCGACACCAAACCTCGACACCGACTCGACACCTCGACAACCCATGCCAACTCGACAAACTCGACACCCCTCGACACCCCTCGACACCCCTCGACACCATCTAGGCTGAAACCATGCTCGTCCGTGTCAAGGTGCCAAACTCGACACCTCGACACCCCTCGACACCCCTCGACACCCCTCGACACCGCTCGACACCGCTCGACACCGCTCGACACCGCTCGACACCTCTGATGATCCTAACACAGCAGAGACGTAGACCCATTGGAGTCACAGAGTTAGAAATCAGGGTTGCAGCAGCAATCAAACTTGGCTGGCAGTACTTTCATCCCTGAGTTGCAGCCTCTCAAGTTCTAGCTCAAGTTGCAGCTCAGTTGCACCCCTGTTGATGCAGCAAACATGGCAGTACTCAGGTAGCCCTAAGGTGCTGCACAGCACCTTGTACAGTGGCAATGAATCCTCACACCAGTGAGCTTGTGCCATGAGTGCAGACCTGTGGTCCATTGCGCTTTGTGCACTGGCGACGATGCAACGGCGACGCTGCAGCGGCGGCGACGCTGCTGCGATGGGGTACTGTAGCCCTTAGCTGCTGGACAGCACCTTGTGCAGTGGCAATGTCCACTGACTCATGGCACCAGCCTTGTGCCATGAGCGCTGTGGTCAGTTGCGCTTTGTGCGCCGGTGACGCTGCAGCAGCGACGCTGCTGCAGCAGCGACGCTGCTGCGGTGCTGCGCCTGCACAGCACCTTGGTGCACAGTGGCAATGACTCCCGGCACTTGATGTCCGCGCAAATGTCCACAGAGAGTATACTGGTTGTGCTCAGGTTGTGCTACATCAACAGGGTGCAACTGAGGCTGCAACTAAGGGATGAAACAGCTTTGCAACTGCTGCCCAACTTTTGTTGTATGTTGATGGGCTGCAACTGCATCCCCACCTTGGACACCTCGATACCTCAGACGCCTCTTGACAACACTCGACACCCGCTCGACACCCGCTCGACACCCTCGACACCCTCGACACCCTCGACACCCTCGACACCCCTCGACACCCCTCGACACTCCTCGACACGGACAAGCATGGTTTCAGCCTCGACAGGCCTCGACAGGCCTCGACAGGCCTCGACAGGCCTCGACAGGCCTCGACACCTCTATCCCTCGACAGCAGCTCGACACCCTCGACACCGGGCCTCGACACCTCGACACCAGGGCTCAGCACTGGGCCTGAGACCATCGTACGACGCTTCCCATCAACTCCGGGTATGTGTGGGATCGAACCACTCCGGGATGGGCGAGCCCGGCCACCAGCAGTGGGGTGGCTCGGCTCCCGCGCACAAGCACAGGGACGGGCCGGGGGCGAAGAGAATACCAAAAGACGAGGGCGAGACAACACGAGAGAGACCGAGACCAGGCAAGGACAAAAAGCCAGACAACTACATGGAAAACGGAGACACACGAAAGGAGTCATGCATACGTCAACGGTCTGCTACCAGAGGCAACGCGGGAGGCGGCGATATATGGAAAGGAGACGTGATCGATGCCGTGCGGGCGAATCAGGTACTAGATCAGTTAGTTGCCTTGAGGATTGTTGAGACACATTGTCTAGATGGATGCATCATGCACCCAACGTGAAGCACCCAACGTGAATCACGAGTCATGAGAAGCGGGCTAGAGGGCGAGATCGCTCGTGCGCCGTGAGATTGTGCATCTGCATGAGAGTGGCCTGGGTGTGTGGGCTCTACACGCTGCGCAAATTTCGCCGGGTAAACGATCACAGCGTAAAGGCCACAGACACGCATGCGACGGGAGGAGCCTCGACCGCCGCACCTTCTCCGACGATCAGGACCGCCGCCCATTCTCCCGCCTCGTCGCGATGCAGCGGCTTTGTGACATGCACGTGAAGCGGCTCCCCGCTCGCCAAGGGGCAGTCGTGCGCGATGTAGGCGGCGGCACGCCGCTTCTGGCGCGAGGCAGCCGCCGCTGGGCGAGCCGCAGACTCATTCCTCGGGCGGGGCTGGCATTGCGACGCACGTACAAAATTGCAGCACACGTCGTAACCGCCGGCCGAAGGTCCCAGGTACTCGATGATCGAGCCGTTTGGGGAGGCTAGCGCAATGCGCCAGCCGTGGCTCACCCCCAGATCAAGGCCAGGCGGAGGGACGAAGGATGCCTCAATCTCGAGCCGCGGCCAGCCGTCGGCATCCGCTGTGACTGCCGCTTTGGCGGAGAGAATAGGAGGAGTCGGGTGCCCATTTCCGAGGTGCCGCCTCCGAGCATGCTGAACAAAGTATCGCAGATCTGACCGGAGGTGCTCTCGCGCTTCTTTGGCGATCATGAAGCCTTCAGCGCTACCGCCCTTGTCGGGGTGCTGCGAGAGGGCGCGAGAGAGCCACGCATGCCGGAGCGCGAGGCTGTGGGAGGACGCGTCCGCGGTGCAGTCCGTCCACCTGTCGCCAGTCAGACCGAGGAAGGCCGAGAGGAGGAGAAGCATCGCGTTTCGCAAGTGGCGTTTACCCGTAGCGCCCGCGGACAGCGCCACTCCCAGTGACACGCTCGGAAAAGAAAAAAGTCGGGGGCGTCCGGTTGAAGGGTTGGGCTTACGAATTCTTTTCCCGTGCCTAGTGTCGTGGGCAGAAAAATTCTTTTCCAGGTCTGGTTGCCGGTGTTCGTAAAAGTGGGGGGCGCGGGGCGACCCCCGCTGCCGGCTCACGATCCGCAGCCGCCGGCTCCCGATCCACCGCTGCCGGCTCACGAACCACCGCTGCCGCCGGCTCCCGATCCACCGCTGCCGTCGGGCAGCACGCTGTCTGAGCCGCCGCCGCATCCCGGCCCACCGCCACCGCCGCTGCCGCCGCCGCCGAGCCTCGTCGGCACGCTCTCGGCGCTCTCGCTCGCTGCGAGCACCGGCGTCGGCCTGGTCGCACAGAATGGCATCAACACGAACCTTCGGCTACACGCGCTGCCCGATCCGTTCGTCACGGCGTGCGCCTCCTTCACCGTCGGCCTGCTCACCATCTCGGCGCTGGCTGCCGCCGAGGCGGCGGCGATGGGCGGCGGCTCGCGGTCGGCGGCCGCCGCCGCGCTGCGCGGCGCGCCCTGGTACGCCTTCACGGGCGGCCTGCTCGGGCCGTGCTACGTCGTCGGCGCCGTCCTGCTCTCGCGCGAGCTCGGCTTTGCAACCTTCCAACTGTGCGCGACGCTCGGCCAGCTCGTCGCCGCGCTGCTCGTCGACGCGGCCGGCTTCCTCCGGCTTCGCAAGCGGCGGCCGACGCGCTGGCAGCTCCTCCGCCCTCGCCCCGCTCGCCGCCCTCGAGCCCTCTCCAAACCGCCTCCGACCCGCGCGCAGGAAGCTCGCCGCACTCGCGTTGCTCGCCTGCGGCACAGGCCTCACCGCGGGACGCGTCTCCGCCGACGCCGAGTGGTGGGCGCTGCTGCTGCTCTGCCTCGGCGCCGCCGGCGCGGGCACCATCTTCCCGCTGCAGGCGTGCGTCAACGACGTGCTCCGCTCGCACCTCGGCACGCCCTTCCGCGCGACGGCCGTCTCGTTCGCCGTCGGCGCCGTCGCGCTCGCCGCCGTCTCCGCCGTGGCGGTCGGCGCGCGCGGCCAGGGCATCGCCG